ACCGAACGGAATTAAATATGATTGATTTTGACCACAGTTCGTTAAAGCGAATATTTAATTAGTCTTCGTTAAAGTGAGAGTTCGTTAAAGTGAATGTCACTGTGTACACTCAAAATTTTGCTACATGGAAAAAATTACTAAATTTTGCCTTTTTAAAATATTAACGGTTTGTTTGGTCCCGTTTAAAAACGCTTCTTTATTTTTTAATTGTAATGTTGTCGTGGATTGTCAATTCTGAATAGGAAGGGCGACAGGCTTTAAAATAATCAGAAATTAGCCCGGCAGTCACAAACTTGACACGTTATTAATATCGAAATATTATTATAAAATAGACTGTGGATAATATCCCGGTTCTGGGGTTCGCCCGTCGGTCTAAATGGTTAGAAGTTGAAAAAGTATACAGTCGACCCCGTCTATCATCATGTTCTTTGTTTGCGTTGATATCGTAATAGAAATAGGTACATTGTCTAAATATCACACTAATAAGGGCATTTAATCAACCGCTGTTTACGTAAATAAAATTTACAGCACTGTAAGTCGACCCGACTTCGAATTAGGTCAGATCGCGATTTGGATCTGTGTAATGAAAAAATCCGCCGTCTGAAAATCGAACTCAAGGAAGCGTGTTATTGATAACAAACGCATTTTAATTTTCAATTAATCTCCATGTTAGTAAACGTATTTAAGTAAATATCGCAATTGTTCTTGCCCTTTGTAACCATGGTCAACTCGAGATTTGAAACCCAACGACAAACAATTGGCTTAACGACGTCCAATCCTCAAAGGACCATACATAAAAAGGCCACTATCCCTTATCGCATCGAAAATATGCGGCATATTTATGACCGAAGAATGGGATGGACTGTATGCTTTATTACATATGATTTCGACACGAAATTCTATCGCCATTTTTTCCAAAACAAACTCACACCTCTTTGTCATGGATGAAATTAAATTTGCATGCAGTTTTTGTCTTTACACACTGTATATTGTAATTAATTTGTGTTTTTGTACAATAACTACTAGTAGATAATTAATCGAGGACATTCGAAAACCACAAAAAAGAAGTCTTGAAAAGCTGATCATATTTATAACGAGTGTAAGTTAATAGTCTTTCCGAGACACTCAGGGATCCATGTTCTGTTAAATATGTATAAGAATGGTATAATAGTAATAGGTACACGATTATAATCAATAATGTCTACTAACGAAAAGTTCCTTCACTAATTAAAGTCTCAAAGAGTAGGGTTAAGGGTGAATAATTTTGATGGTTTACCACCATCGAAACATCGTTGCGAACGGTTTAAAGTTCTATTAACTGTTTATATTCGATCTGTCTGTGTTTCTTTCCTGCTTACGTAGGTCGAACAAATATTACAACTCAATCGGATGTTTACAAATAAAAACAAAGTCTATTGTATAATGAATTAAATTGTCCATCTCAGTAGTCTCTACATCACAGACCCCATAGTTTGACAACATTATCGTTTCCACCAGACGCTAATATTGATTCTTTATATTTTACACAATTTACTGGTGAAACGTGACCTGAATAGCTTGAGTGCTGTAAAGTCGAGCGATTATAAAGCTGTGAGGGTAAAGGTTATTAATGGAAATCGGTGAGACAGATAAGTCCAGGGAAAAGAATAAGAAATATTCACACACGAAATCCGACTTATCCAAACCTTAATGTCATTAACTCCGCATGCACAGACTATACGTTGGGAGTCGAATTGTAAACCTGCTATAGCATTCTCATAGGACAATGTGTCGAATATGGTTCCCGTTCGTAAATCCCATATCTAAGATGAACACCAAAGATGTAGTTGTCAATAATAGCGGTATAGTAGCGACCGCAGAAGCGATAACTAAACATATGATTCAAAGTAAAACAACTAACCCTAATGCTCTTGTCCATACTTCCGCTAACAACGTGATATTCATCAAATTGTAGCGATGTGATCGGTCCTGTATTCCAAAAAACAAACGTAAGTAATTCATTGTATCGCGTCGGTGGCATTACAATACGATTAATCGTACCCGAATGGCCAAGTAATGTCCTATGCGTTTGTCCTGTCCTTACTGTAAGATACAACAAAATATCGAGGTCAAGGAAATAATAGTGAGGGAAAGAAAAACATAAACTATAGCAGTGAGAGATATCATAACAGACACATTATATTACTATATTTGTTGTTAAAGGATACAGTCCCACATACGTATGGCACCATCTCTTGTCCCACTTGCTAGTGCGTAGTTCCAGAACTGTAACGCACCAATGAAGTCTCCCTCGTCAAGCAGATCAAACACGAAGCTCTCTGCCAACGGTGCATGCGATAACTTGGCGCTCGACATTGCCCATAACAAATCCATTGTTAGTATGCATTGTCCTGTTTCCAAATCCCATTGCTTCATCGTCTTGTCTGCTGAGCCAGAAACCTAAATTATAAAGTTCACATAAATAACCAACCAAATTGCATTGATTGTCAATGTTTCAGATGTACATGAACCGTACCAGCCACTGATCCTCATGATGAAGACAAGTGATTTCCCCAGAATGTCCTTCCAACGTAGCTACCCACACAGTCTCGCCAATATTCTCCAACGTATCATCATCAGTCATGTCGAAACTGCTCTTTGCGGATGAGGATATCGATTTGTAATGACAGTGAGGTAGAACAGCTAACATGTCCGATTGAGACAAAAGCGAAAGATTCCATTGTCGGATTGACTTGTCCTTGGAACCAGTGATAAGACGGTTATCGTGAATTTTTATGCAGGTTACAATATCTGAAGATTTAGGTGGCAAAACATGTGAACAGGTACACTTTCAAATAACATAATTTCAGAGAGGTTATTGGGTCATACCTTTATGTCCATCGAGAAGTCCGACGCATTTATTGGTATTCAAGTTCCACACCCGTACAGTATTATCTAGCGATGACGACACTAAGAAGCCCCCAGGCCTATCAAAGTCGATACATTTTATTACATCTTCATGACCCTCCAGTGTCTATATTGATGGGAAATAAAAATAAGTGACTAGGATACGTTTTATCCAGAAATATTTACTCCAACTTACTCTAAAGCAAACACCAGATTCGTATCGTTTTCCTCGTCGTTCTAGTAAAACCAAGCGCCATCGTATATTAATAATAAATCCAGCAGGATCGTTTATAAATTCCATTATTTTATATAAAATAGAAATTGGATCCCTACTTTGCTTTAGTCGCCCTTTCTCATCTGTTCCATTCCTCTCCACATGAACAAAGCTTGAAATCTTATAATTTAATTCCTCGACTGTAAGACGCATACGTAGGTCAGTATGTCTATGATGATTGCGGATCGTATAAGGTTCAACCATTAAAACATCACTTCACCTTGATAACTTAGTTCGTTCTTCCGCCCTTCAAATGTAAGCAATTGGGATGATAGGCTTTCCTTTTTTGCTTGTAAACGTTCGATTTCCTTTTCAATTTCCTTTATTTCTGCTATTGTGTCTAACTGCACAATTGAGAGTGGATTTTATGAATGACAGTAGGAGAACGTTGAAAGCCATGTACTTGGAAATAAAATTTACCTCTTGAGCGCAAAGACGGTCGTTTTCTCTGACAACACGATCCCGATCGGTGATGAGTTGGTTGAGCGGTTTGGATTCGCCATCTATCGAAGCTAATAAAATTGTAAAGTAACAACAAGATTTGATGTTAAACAGATTTGGATAATTAATTAATTAATTGATTGATTGATTAATTGAACGTGCGACAGCATTTTCAGCAGCGTTTCGTTTGACATGCTATAAAAATGAATGCAACATACCAGTATCCGAAGATCCATCATGACCATCAAACACACCATTTAGCGCTCCCCTTGTTTTCTTCTTTTTAAGCTTAGTGACAGACTTTCTAAAGGTATCATAATCTGGATATGACGCTTTGAATCCTTCCAGCAATGATAACGGAGCCTCTGATTCCGGCATCTCCGTATTCAATAAACTCAATCTCTTCTGTGACCCATCCCCAGCTGGTGGAGGTGATTGATTTGATCCCTCTTGCACCTGCCTATTCTTTCCAGTAATGTACTGTTGTAGTCGACGTTGGTCCATAATGGCCGGTGCAAGATCTGTTATAATACCCATTGTATCACCTTTAACTGCCCGAGTTGCTAATGGAGTAAATACGACCGACGCTGTAGTGGCAACAGTGTTTGAGGCCAATTGAAGCGCAGTTGGTATTAGATCATTCAAAGCAAGAGAAGATCGACCAAAAGTCGAAGAAGACGAAAGGCGCGATCCCCCAGCACTGTTGCTAGTGCTCATGGCTGTTTATGAGGACGGTAGTAGAAGTGATCGGAGTTATGCGGTCGCTGTGATGTGTTGCTGGATCCGCGCAATGTTTTGAAACTTGTGATAATTGTTAAGAAATGCAAGTGACTAACTCTGTATGGAGGAAGGGATGATGAAAAAATGTTTGCTTTGCGTATATGGCAGCGACCTGCAGTTAGGTGACATTAAACTTTAGTGTTACAAAAATTTAGAGATCGAATATTTGTAGAATGTTCTTCCTATCGATAAAGCTGGAGCAAGCAAGCAATGCAAGCTTTTATTCTAATGGAGTTACTACGCCCACTTTTTCATGTAAGCAAGACATTGGGCTTACATTGGGCGTTCAATTGCAAGACTGATTTGTAATTCGAAAAAAAAAGGGAATTTGGTAAAGAATGCGATTATCTTCCATTATCATGTGACAAGAACTCTCAAAATCTTGTGATTCAAGCCAATTTATTAAAATTGACTTTGTCAAAAACACATAATCACGCAATCAAAAATTGGATTATATTTTCTGTGATACATGGCTTACCAATTATCGATATTTGCTATTAAGCGATACCTGTTGACACGTGATTTAAACCTAAGTTTGCATATTATTCCGAACATGATACGCCACATATTAATAGAGTATTAAATAGTATAAATCTAAATATTATTGTACGTATTTGCTCAACAATTTTACAATAAATTTTCTGTTATTGTAGTTTGATGGGCAGTGGTATCAATGTTAAATGTATTATATAATTTTCATACTAGTAAATAAATTTGTACGGTTTGCAAAGCTATTTTTGAAAATTTAAGGGCATTGGATTTTAATTTTTACTTTATATGTGTTAGTATCCATTAATGGGATCACAGCCAATTCTAACGAATGGAAATAGCGTTGAACGTAAGATGTTAATGGGTGTCTTAACTTGCGGCATGCATCGTATTTTAACAACTTTAACATGCTGTCGTTTTCGCGGCCCGCAATAAAATCATGATAGACCGATTGTATTCGTAATAATGATTGAATTCAACAATAAAAAGTTGCTACTGTACTTGTATATAACAAATATTCGATGTGACAAGATTCACATAAATTCATTCAATATTCCCGTGCACTACAACCCGCGCAGAATATTCGACTATGCTTCCGTGATACAAATTCAGTTACGAGAATTTCCAAAGCGCATTGAAACTTTTCATTTCCCAAATGAGTCAAAAGTATGCTTCGTTCAATATCCAGGGCCCTTCGGTAGCTGTTGGTGTAATTATCGGAGCTGCTTTAGCTGTTTACGGTTTGAAGTTATTCCGCTTTGACTTTTGGTCGACTAGGCCCGAAAAGAAACGTAGAGAGCAAGCAAGGGCTCGCGATCAAATTGTGCATGGTATTGAAGGTCTTGTAGGGAACACACCATTGATCAGGCTCAAGAGCTTGAGTGAAGCTACAGGCTGCGAAATTCTGGTAACTTTCAAAGATGTATCCCAATTTGCATGATCGAGCTTTGCAAAGATTGAAAAACGTTTAAAAGATACAAAACTATCGTTAACTTGCAGGCAAAAGCAGAAGTATGTATAATACGCAATAGCTCACGGCGTCTCAATCTACTGAAACACTTTTTTTTTTCAAATTCTTGCGTCATTATCACACATTTAAAATTATTTTAATATAAAAGTTTTTAAACCCAGGCGGAAGTCCGAAAGATCGTGCTGCTTTAAACATGATCAGGCAAGCAGAATCTCAAGGGTTAATCTATCCAAACACTGGCTCGACTATTTTCGAAGGAACCTCGGGCTCTACCGGAATATCCATTGCAATGATTGCTCGCGCTAAAGGCTACAATGCATGGATTGTTATGCCTGATGACCAAGCCGAGGAGAAATACCAGTTGCTTGAGAAATTGGGAGCGACTGTTGAAAGAGTCAGGCCGGCGAGTATTATTGATAAGAATCAGTATGTGAATTTGGCCAAGCGACGCGCCTCAGAATTCGGAACAGATAATAGAGGTGATGAAAATGCCAGCGAGGCGGAAGATTACCGAAAGAGACCAAGAGGATTCTTTGCAGATCAATTCGAAAACTTAGCTAATTATAAAGCACATTATAATGGGACAGCTCCAGAAATATATGAACAGACGAATGGAAAGATAGATGCAATCGTGACTGGTGCTGGAATGTATTTTTATCAGTTTTTAGTGTTTACGCGTTATATTGCATCAAGTCTCACCAAACAGATAGATGATCACAATTCATGTGCCAGTGCTTACTTTCATTTAACAAGCTTAAAATAACTCTTCGATCAAAAGGTACTGGAGGTACAATAGCAGGGTTGAGTCGTTACCTTAAACCTCTCATTCCAAACTTGAAAGTCTTTCTCGTTGATCCGCCCGGCTCGGGTCTATTCCATAAAATCAAGCACAACATTATGTATTCTCCCTATGAAGCCGAAGGGACTAGGCGCAGGCACCAAGTAGATACAATAGTTGAAGGCGTAGGACTCAACCGGATTACGGCCAATTTCGAAATAGCCCATGGCTGGATCGATGATGCGATTCTTGTTAGCGACGAGGAAGCAGTGGCCATGGCGCGATATTTGGTTAGAGAAGAAGGTGAGGTGGTTTGGGCTTTTCGAATTACGTACGAGCTCGGCGTGGAGAGTATCAGGAAATCGTTTAGTCGGAAGAGTGCGGCGTTTGAGGCCGTTACCGATTGAATTTTTTACTAAAATGGTTTGCTTTATCGATTCGATATTTATTGGTGATAGGATTGTTCTTGGGAAGTTCGTCAGCAATTAATTGTGTGGGATGTGTGCGCGTTGCAAGGCAGTTGGGCCCCGGACACCGAATTGTTACTTTATTGTGTGATTCTGGACAGAGGGTCAGTAATCGTACGTTTTTGGTCTGAGCTTCGATTCTCGTCTGTTATTGTGATGTATACTTAATGACGCCCGTCTTTACATGTTTTGCTACCGAACCTTATTTTAAATAATAGCATTTAACTAAATTCTGGTAATTGACAAATTATTCTTTTCGTTATTATTATTAATATTATTTTACTGATGTTTGTAATCTGTTAGGAATGATGAATACCTGAAGAAAAATAATATTCAGCCAAAGGATGGAGAAGGTCTATCATTCATAGAATGATAATATGCGTAGTACAGAATATCTAATACTTAAGTTATCAATTGAAATTATATATTAAAGATTAAAATGATAGGAATGAAATTAATCAAAGCTTGATAATGAGGCCTCAATAACAGCAAGAATGGTTATATAATTAACAGGCATTCCTGCCTAACCATCGAGTCGTTCACTCTTACGGGGCAACAATGCTTTTTAACCTTATAGCTGGAAGACTCTCTTCCATGCATGCCAAAGACATATCCCCGAAGAAGCCGAGATATTCGTTGATTACGCCCCATTGGACTCGTGCATAACCATCTTAATCTCCCGGAACATATTCCAGTCAATGAATAGTGGCATATAGACAGAAAGGACTATAGTTTCTCCTATAGAATATGGGGAGGGCAACTCTTCATATCTTTCCAATATCTTGACTAAAGATATTATAACATTTGAAGCGAGTAGACTACAATGAACTCAATGTCTTTTGCTCATTGAAAAGAAATATTGGAAAGCACCAATCCAGAATAGACACGTTGTTTATTGCTGTTTAATAAAACGTGATTTACAAAATCTCATTATACCCAATATTTCATGATAAAGAGGGTGTCGCGTAGCGCATCATATTGTACTCTCGTGACATGTTCTGGGGTATGTTGCGAGGAAGTCTTGATGTACATAGATAAGATATAGTCGACCGGCTGATGGTAATGGTTTAAGCTACAGAGGTTTTATTTTATCGAGAATTATATGGTAACTGCAGCGTCAACACAATATAATGGAGATACTAGGTTATACTGGAGGAAAGAGGAATTACTATTCAGTCGGCCGCACTGCTTGTGTCAATACACGCTCGATTTGGCTTAACTCTGACAAAAATTTTCGGGCCCTTTGGGACGACACATAAAATCGCGATAACTCGTAACTCGGACAATCCTGTCGACCAGATTATAACAAATGACTCTCGATAAGTCGTACACGTAATTTTCCGGATAATTCACGTTTTATAACAAAATAATTACCCAATAATTGCGTCATTATTTAACATCTAAACAATATTTTATTACCTTATGTCATCATCTTTTATTTATCGTAGTATATTAATATTATTTGTAATACATTATTATTGTATAATTGTCTTAATCGTCATGTTGTACGTCAATTGCTTTCAAAATGCATTAGAAGAAATCATAAACAATTCAATATCAAATAATTATCCCACTTAAATTGGACTATAACTATCCCAGGTATGTGTCACGATCCAATTTTTTATGAACACATTAATGTGTCAAGAAAAACCGATGACGACACACATCATATCACACCTGAGACTATTATAGTCTATATATTAGGTGCTATATAGGTTGCATTTGAGGCTTGGGATGGGAGCAATTGGAAAAGATACAATAAAGGGTTTTTACAATGGGAATTAGTATAAGAAGCGAAAACTTAGAAAAGATAGGTGCTTGGATCGATAGCAAACCATTTAATAGTGTGTAGCGGGAAGGAACTCTCATTTACGGGTTAGGGCTCGAGAAGTGTTCTCCCTTGAAACTCGCTACTCTATTCATTTTATAAATTGATTTTGAAAAAATTAAAGATTTGCAAATTTCAACACAAAATAAAACTTTTTTATTGTTTCATCAATGTGAACTAAATTTTTCTCTATAAACTGAGATAGATATCGACTAATATCTCTGTTGATATTCCCAAATCCCATTACTATCTGAATGTAATCGGGATTAATTTCAAAAGATTTATTCCGTGTTTTTCTAGACTTACTTTCCACTGTCACGTCTGTATCACTCTCGCTTGTAATCCATATAAATATTATCTCCAATCCGTCCTCGAAGCCCATAAGTTTAATTTCAAATTTGGCCAAATACTGGAGAAAAAAATTTCCCTCAGAATCTGAATGACTGCTCTTATCAACGGTAATCTGTACTGGAACAACATACAACTTATTATTTGTTTGCGAAATCAGTAATCCATCAATCGCCTCTTGGTTCCAACAACGTGGTAAGTAAAGCATACATAGTTCTAAGAACAGAAGAGTTGAGACCAGTCAAGCATCAAGCGTGGGCATACAACCTAAATGTCCCAAAAAAAAATTAGCTAGATTAGGCAGTGTGATTTATAACTGAACAATAAAATTGGCCGTTCGTTTAACTAATGTTACTATTGCACGATTTATTATACTGAGAATTTGACCCTCTATAATTCAACTTATCCAGCCCCGATTTTTTAATATGATTGTACTTCCTAAAGTATGTCTGTTGTTAATTTGACTGATGACTCTGGAATGCAGGCAGTCGAATTAAAGGCAGTTGACAGTGTTAAAGTAATTTATTAATCTACTCAGTTACAAATAATTTCGATTCGGGTCATATTCGATACTGTTACTATTACATAATAGTTCGCACCTGCTAAAATGCATTACGTCATGGGGGCACGGCCGTGCGGGTGCACGAAATTATATAACCCTATTTTTTAAAGAAAATTCGACTTACGGTTGCTAGAAGCGTGAGAAATTCCTTTTATCTTATAGGTATTATTAATACAAAATTTGGGGGCGGGAAAATTCTTCACCTTTGGAGTGATTTCATCTCTTAAAATGACTTTATTTATCGAGTTTGACTACGTACTATGAAGTATTACAAACTACGCGAAGCAGACAAAACTATACAGAATCTATTTGTCCTCGGTTATTGATAAACTACTCCCAGATTTGTCTATTATTACTGTTACTTTGTTGTCGTTGTCTTTGTTGAACAATAATAAGAAAAAGTGCAAACTCTAACTGTATCAGTGAGCGATCAGTAGAACGCGAAATTTATTATGCGCGCAAAAAATTCCATTACTCAAATATTTTTTTATCAACGAGTGCACCATTATTGTCTGGTCTAGTGTATTTATTCTCGTACGAACGAAACTGTCAATAGACGCCAACGTTTGTTTTATTACAAACAAACATCAAACATACCGTTATCAGCTAGTTCGTTACGTTTGGCATTCACTCATCTTTTAAGGGTGTGACCATCTAATTTATCAATTGTCATTATACTCCAAATTTGGCAAAATTCAACGATAAACGGGTAAACCCCCTTATCAGTTTGTTGTTTCGAGATATGAAATCGAATCTAATTGGAAGGCCGCATTATTATCTTGAGAATTTCTTGTACGCCGAAGAGTAAACAAAGGAAAGCAGCCATAGTTATAAAAAACGATCAAGTCTCATAGGGAATTCACTCAGTCTTGAACATTACCAGAAAAAAACCAGCTGTTATCTTCATAATGGCATTCATCTCGGGTCTAACTAGCGGATATTACAATAATCAAGATGACAATTCTATAAGACTAATGAATAAGACGTACACAGAACACACAGCCAAGTATATCCAACTTGTTAGTAGTATGGAAGCAAAATTTGCCGAAGATTTTATTGAACTTCCCAAGGTCGTGTTTTGTGGAAATCAATCGGCTGGAAAGAGCAGCTTATTGGAAGCAATTTCTAATGTTCAGGTAATGTAAGAAACATATAGATATACTATGTTATTACGTATTTACCATTCATTTGATTATCTCATCGCATATTATTCTATCATTTTAATACTACGTATGTAACATATATATGTATTTTCTCTTAGCTTCCAAGATGGCACGAAACGTGCACTCGGTGTGTAATGGAGATTCGCATGCACGAAACACCAAAAAACAGCAATTGGGAGTGCAGGATCTCTCTGCGTGTAGAATACGATAAAAACAACAAACCACTTACAGATACTCGTAAAAATTCTTCGTTTGGCAAAGTCTTACACAATTCAAAAGACGTTGAATTAATGGCATATCGTGCCCAAAAAGCACTGCTCAACCCGAGCAAAAATTCTGACATCTACCTTAATCACGAACCGTTTGATGGATCGAAAAAGGAAACGAATGAAATTGAATTTACAATGAATACTGTTTGTTTGTCCATTACGGGACCAAACGTTCCCAATTTAAGTCTGGTTGATTTACCAGGAATTGTGGGTAAGTTACACAGCGTAAATCATGTACGTGTCTTGAAGTAAAAAGTTCTAATTTATTCTATTGTTAAATAGAACATATTAAAAACACAACCCCAGACGTTTCACGGAAACTTGTTGCTACGATAAAAACACTCACTACAAACTATGTAGAAAAACCCAAATCTATAATTGTCGCTACCATTCCTTGCGATTCGGAAGACGAGCACCAAGGTATTCATAATATAATCAACGAAGTCGATCCGCACAAAAACCGTACGGTATTTGTCCTAACAAAACCAGACCGTATCGAGGAGAAAACGCATGGAAAATGGTTACCGAAACTCGAAAATTTATCAGGACCAGACTATTTCGTAGTCATGAACCCAGATCAGGCAAAATTAATCAATGGAGTGACATTTATCCAGGCTAGGGAAGAAGAAGAACATGTAAGCAACCAATATCAGTGGGAAATCAAAATTTGATCGACTTTTATTAATATGGCGTTTTTATCATAGTGGTTTGCAAACACTCAGCCATGGTGTTCGTCAACTTTTAAAGACAAACTCGGAGTAAAACGGCTGAGAACAAAGTTGGAAAAGTTACTCATAGAAAAAATTAGAGAAAATATTCCTAAAATTACGGATGAAATAAATAAAAGATTAATAGAGGTAAAAGAATAACTATGGGCGGTTGGCATATAACGGGCTTTTTTCTGTCGGCATTTACCAAGATGTTTTGTGCGTTTATCAGGCGAATGGTAAATTGAACGAATTACCACCACCTCCCGCTAATGCCCAATTCGAAATCAACAGAGTGACAAACATGTGTGAAAGCAAACTTCGTCACAAGCTTGAAAACACTGGAACTGATTTGAACGACGAAAATGACAGTTTGTGGGAAAAAATACGAAGACGGCTGAATGAGTATAATATGGCAATCGAAAACGAAAGACCGGCGTTTGTGTTAACGTCGTCGTCTTTTGGACGTGTACAGAGAACGCTCCTTGTAGACCTTTTGCAAAATATTCCCGCAGCAAACCGTAATGAGACATATAGTTCAATCATCGTAACTACCATGGACATTGTAAGCAGTTTATGTCTTGTTTTCGTAAGTTCGGCTATTTTAACTCTATTTTGGGGGCTAACGTAATTGCTTATTACGAAACCAGGTAAATGAACATAAAGGTTCGCTAAGTAGTGAGGCATTTATCAAGGAAACAATAAAGGTTAAGGACATAATTAACCAAAGTAGAGGTTGCCTACTTCCCGGTAGAATTCCCCATGAAGTATCGGATTTCATAATTAGACCATATCAATATCACTGGAAACAGCATTCAACGCAATGTCTCAAAAAAATGGTTGATATTTTGTGGAGGGAAATTGAACAGATTATCCGCGATTCAGCGAAACAATACAGGAAACTTTGTCATTTCTTGGAAGGACGCGCGAAGAAGCGGCTCGAATCTTGTAAAGAGCGCTGCGAAAAACTGATCGAGTCATTTTCTGATCTTGAGTTTAAGAGATCGTATACTAGCGATAACCAAATTGCACACAGTATGAGTGAGTACCGGTCCCAATTGGTCAACCTGGTACCTTATGATACGGAAGCCGCAGCTGTCGTGGCTGATGTAAAAGCATACTATGAATTGTCTCTAAGAAGATATACGGATTACG